AAAAACACGCGATGCGTTCGAGCATAAAGGGTGAGAGGCCTATATAAATGATATTTTAAGTTACATAAGAAAAATGTCATAATCCGATTTGAATAGATCTCCAAATAACCATCCTAATTGCGATAACGAAACACCTCGATATACAAACAATTCAGGTAACTAAGCTACTTTGCTTCTTTAGTCAAATATATACAATGTTTTTACAAAATGATCCCCTAATTATATAAATATGCCAATCGCTGTACAAAATTATTTACATGTTGTATAAATATACCAATTATTATACAAAATTGCATAAATTCGTCCCAAATAGTGAGAGAAATTTATTGTGTAAGGAAATCAGAAATCTTCTGATGGATAAAATCATTTTTGCCGTGAAACAAATGAGGAAGGTTTATTCGTTTGTTCTCTGACCAGACGATGTTTATAAATTTTAGAACAATTTCGGGAACAATTTCTAATTAACATTTAAATTCCAAAGAGTATTTTTTTACATGTTTGATTTGATAGCATTTTATCTGGAATATAAATCTACGTCGTGATTTCCATGATAGAAGGGATTTTCGTTACAACTCTAGGGCTATAGATTTCCATTCCTCTTCCGCTACCTTCTAGAGTTCGTCAATCATGGTAATTTGCGCCTAGAAAGAGTTTTTTCTTGAGACCAAAGGCCCAACAGTTCGTACTTGAAACGTCAGAGGACTTCGCAGGAATAAGATGAAATTGTTCTCATGCAATACCTATATCAGTCTCCGTTTTTTCAAGGAATGAAGCCATCCTTTTCGTCGTATGACTTTTTGCTTTGTATGGATGAAGTTTCACTCTCTGAAAATGACTCGGATAAAGAAATGGAATTTCTTTTGTAAATGTCGGACGTGAAAATTTCTCTTGATAGTACGCTAATATTTTTTCCTTTCTCCTTATTTTTAATTTCCGATTGAAAGATAATCCTGCTACAGTCATAAACTCCTTAGTGAAACGTTCATTGCTATTGAAGGAGACAAGTTTGTATAGTTTTTACACTTCGTTTACGATAATAAATATACCTTTTCTTAATGCAGTCATTTAAACAAATCCATGAATCATCGAGGGTCACAACGTATTTCCATTTGTCTCCTATTAAATAGTTTTCATACAGCATTCTACAAACTGTCATGAGCTAAACCATTTGCCGCGGCAAAAGCTGAAATTAAAAAAGCTGAGAAAATTATGATTTTTAGCTATTTAAGCTGCCGGTTTATTGTTTTATTTATTGTTGCTCTAGATGTACACTGCTGGCCACCCAAATTGCAACACCAAGAAAGACAAGAGATATCACAACAAAATTTATTTAGCAGATAACATGTTGTCCAAGTATCAAATGATTAAATTTATAAACTTCTGTGAAGTGTGGTTCCTTCCAGAACCAGTAGCTAGAGTAGCCGCCATTGTTGGAAATCACCGCTGAAAAACGCCTCGGCATTGATTCAAAGAGACTTTGGATGTCTTCTTGGGATACAGCATAGCAAGCAGCTTCCACACGTTGCCAAAGTTGATCTCGTGTGGCATCTTGGGATGTAATCTGGGTCAATCGTTCAGCAACCATGGACCACATGTTTTCTATCGGCGAAAGATCCTGAGAACGAGCCGGCCAGGGAAGCAATTCAACCTGGCGATTGACGAAGAACCCTTGAACAATGCGTGCCGCGTGTGATTGAGCATTATCCTGTTGAAATGTGGCTATGGACAAGCCCTGAAGGTAAGGAAGGACAATTGACTCCAATACTTCGTAGATGTATCGCTGGCTATTTAAAGTACCGGCAATGCGTATTAGAGGAGTGCGAAAGTGATATTCAATACCTTCCCATACCATAATACCCGGTGCAGGACCAATTGTGGCGGTGCATAATGCAGCTATTCAGCATCCTCTCTCCACGGTGTCTCCAGACTCGAATCCGACCATCGTGGTGTTGCAGACAGAAGCGTGACTCGTCAGTAAAGACGATTTCATTTAATTCTGCCGTCCACATCCTTCTCTCATCGCACCATTGGCAGCGGGGACGTCTGTAGTTCTGCGTCAAGGGTAGACGAAGCAATGGACGTCTTGTGGACAGACCACTATGCTGTAAACGGTGTCGAATGGTACGCGCAGACACTGGATGATGCGTTACAGACTGAATGTGCTGTGTTATGGTTCGTGATGCGACTGACGGATCCGTCATTGCCATGCGCACAATGTCCCTGTCATCACGTGAAGTGGTGCATTTTTTTTTTTTTAAAACACAAGGCAAACACGATTGTCGAACTTGGAATCGTCGAAAACTCCAAGCCTTAAATAGTGAAGTCCTTAAATTTGAAGCCTTAAATTTGAAATGGCGCCACAGGCGCGCGTGATGTGCGTCTGCGTTGAAATTCTAGTCATTTGCATATCTCACCTCCGCAAATGCATGTTGTAAATTTCATGTTATTTTGCATGCTTCCTTCAGGGTTTTGCATTTACTGTGGCCAGCAGTGTATTTAAAGATCTTGAAATGGATTTCTGCTTCGTCATATTTTCTTTTGTTACCAACGAGTTAAATTTCGGAACATTAGATATCCTTTTTTGGGTATTCGTTTGGAGCCTTCTTTCCTAGCAGAAATAATAATTTACGGTTTTTCCCTTTCCAATTAATAATGAAACTTATTTTGACCTTTGAAATTTTAATAGCATGCATTTCACAACTTTTTGTATTACGGAAGAGGAATATTTCTCTTTGGAGAGTTCAAAAATATATCCTACAATCCACAGCTTTATAACATGCGATATTTTGAAAAAAGAATAAATTTAAAAATACCAAACGATATTTTCAATTTTAAATAAAAAACTGCTGTCGAAAACGTTTATTTTAAAATAATTGCCTTTAAAATCGTCATCGAAATTATTCTAAAAATGTGTAAAAACCCTTTGTATTTGATTTCGTCGGATCTTACGGGTTAAGGATTTCATAGTTTATGGAGCCAATTTTTGTTTTCTGGGAAAGAATTCGAAACAGACTTTTCTTCGCATAAGGAAGTAACAAAGTTGTGTTTAGCTCACATTTTATTTATTTAATCTACAATCCATTTGCTTTTTCAACTAAATTAAAAAAAAACAGATTAATTTAATTCACACAAAAAGCAGACTATCAATACGTAACATACATTTAATTTTTTCGGTACTAATCAGGTTTGTATGACGAGTCCGAGTAAACCCGAAACTTATTTTTTCTTTGCTCATTTAAACAAAAAGCAAAATTTGTTTTTGTTTTAAATAAAAACCAAAAAAAAAATTATTAAAAAAAAACGCGTAACTTAAACATATTTAGCCAAAATCATGTATAAAACTGCTCTGTAAATAATGTGAAGTGATGTAAAATAATGATAAAATATTTTTTTATTATTCATATCAAAGAAAATAACAAAAAGCTTAAATAATTTAACGGTAAGCTCGGTGTTTACTTGCTCGAAAGAAAAATAAGCGATCCTGTTAACCGGAAACGGGACCAGTTGAGTTCTACTGATCTTCGAATGAAATTAACTTCTAATAGAAATGATTCAGGTTCTAAAATAAATTATTAGTTGAAACGAAATTACTTTGATCTAATTTCAAGTATATCAACCAGAAATGGTTCAGGTTCTAAAATAAATTATTAGTTGAAACGAAATTACTTTGATCTAATTTCAAGTATATCAACCAGAAATGGTTGAAATGGTTGAAATCATTTCAACCAGAACGGTTTTGCGTAAATTCAGATGTAACTATCTCCAAGCTTATGAAGGACTTCAACCGTTGTTATGAAGAAACATACTTGCACTAATGAAAGTGAAACAAATTCTCCATCGATAAATAATAAATGAAACGCATTCTATTTCTGAAGATCTGAAAGGTTTGAATACTCTAAAGTTAAGATTGTTATTCGCATTCTAATATTCATCTAATTCAGCCGAAGAAATTGCTTATTCCCTGGCAGTGATAACTGCAGCAGACTCTACGAGCTTTACAAAGTTTTCAAAACTAAATGTTCAAGCTGCCTTAGTATTTCTAAATTTAGATGATTAATGTTTATTCTATTTCTGCTGTGGAATGCAAATTATTTTGCACTTCTATGTTCAACAATTTGGAGAAAAATGTTTGTAAGGATATTCTGTTTGAAATGCAAACGTTATTACTTTCAAAGAAATATCCATTGAAATATACGCTTTTTCTTCAACTCTTCTGCCATTACTAGAAACATTGGTAAAATATATTTTTTGTTATTCGTCGTAGGTGTCGTTTTGGATTGCTTGAATTGCCTGAAACAATTTTTATGGTAGAATTTCTTAATAAGAGAAGATAGCGGAGTCAGAGAATGACAAATATGGCAAATAGGACGTTTAGATGAAAAATGAACAATGTTCTCGCTGGGACTCGGACCACGAATCTCTCGAATACGCGCCGAGTGTGCTGACCATTTCACCACGAAGGCATGCTAAGACCGCGGTATAAATACCTTATAACTTCGTTTATTATCTTCATATCTACAGGAGATACACTAACATTTTCTAGTAGCTAAATTCATGTACTGCAAATTAAACAAACGTGAGAGGACTTTTCTTCTAACTTTTTACACAGATGAGGGATGAATTTGAGGAATACTGTATGAATATTAAAAATAAACAATAGAATAACAGAGTAAAAATGTTTACTTATTGTAAATAAGAAACTATAACTAATATTCCTGATTGAAAGAATGGGCTGATTGAAAGATTATTGATTAAGTGAATAGTAAAATTAATATGCTCATTATAATTATTTTACCGTAACTATTTATATAAAAAACGAAACTCCGGAGCACATTACAAATTAAGCAAAATTAATTATGATTCCAATAAAAACATATTTTATAGAAATATGAATAAACGTGAAGCCAAAAATAATATTATCGTGCAGGTTTTTATTGTGTTATGTATTGTTAGAAAGGATTGAGCATTATTAGATAGTCATGCTAAGAAAGACAACTTACCACACATGCCTTCAAAAAATTTTATAAACGTATCTTCAAATTCATCTCCAGCGATGATGCTCAAACTGCTTAAACTAACCAAGATTGCAAACACTAAAGCATTCATCGGAAATTCAATGTGTTTTGTATTTTATGCACTGAAGATATCCTAAAAAACTTCCGTTTGAGTACACTAAATTCTCTCAGAATTTTCCAGACATATATAGCGAAAAGATCTCATAAGGTCAACGTATGCGGTAGGATTCTACTTATTGTCGTAAATATTTGCTCAATAATAAATTATTTCAGGTGTTTATGCAATCCATAAAGAAATCACTTATAAATGCTATTTTGCCTTGGTTCGATTGTTGCGTAAGGAATTTGCTGTCAGCTTTTCTACTGATATTGCATGATCAGAGAAGATATTTTTTGTTTTAACAAGAAATTCATGAAATCCTTTTTAAGTTTGTTTGCTTTTCGCTTACATTCATATTCTCTACGGTGAAACTCTCTTTCACGCCTAATAATTTGTATTCTTCGAAAAACGTGTATTATAAATATACCATTAAAATACGTCTTATTTCCAAGAATGAACGCGTTAATGAATTCATTTCACTGAATTGCGCAAAGCATATGAGATAAAAACATTCTTATTCAAATGAAATCGTAATAAAATTACCTATTGTGTTTCCTTTGGATTAAAGAAATTTCATAGGGCATCGTGTTGTTTTTATATACAATTTCATCCTTCCCAGTTATCTTTAATTTGCATATTCTATTCAATAAAATATTAATTCATATAGAGCAGTCATATTGCAATAGATCTTGTGATAATATAACAAAACTCCCTTTATCTGGAGTTCCAAATAATCACTCTTTATATGTTTTAGATCGCATTGAATTTAATTTTCTATGATATATTTACTCATTTATAATTATTTCTTTGATTTGAATAACAAGAAAAGCAAATACAGAATAACATATATATTCTTAAGAAACTGTTAAATTAATTTAAAGAAATGTGTTTGACCTGCAGATTAACCTTCAGTTTTCGGCAGATACATAATTTATAAGCATTAACGATAAAGCAGTTATGTGCTATATATTGTTCTTTGTACACTCCTTGCATCATTGCTTAGTTATAACTAGATTTATTTTCTACTTATTAACCGAATATGTGCTATGAATTTTTATCAATACATCAGCTGTCCAAAGTCGTTTTGTCTCACAAAATTCAACATTACTGCAGTACATTTACGCTTTAGGTATATGCCGTGTGATTACTTTTTAAGTTAGGTTAGGTTTATTGCATACTGGGAAAGCTCACAAGAGTTATGTGCCTAAGGGGAGGGATACCTTAGTGGAGGATTTCCTAAAAATATGGCTTGTATCGCATCAGAAATTTAAAAAAAAATCCCTGAAATCAATCATATAATCAGTCCGTTTGCTTGAATCGAACCGAGGGCGAACTCTTAGATTTCAGCAGTCTTAACCACTCGGGTCACTGGCGAGGCCATTACTCTTTTACATGGAGTATTCGAGGATAAAGTGTTATCCTTTGGCTTGATGTAAATTATAACAATTTCAACTTTTTGCAGCAATTGCGATATCTTCGTGGATCTCATTGTTATTCAAAGCAGTAAATCCCAATATATATATATACATATATAAACTTAAATCAGCTTATAATATATATATGTAAGAGAAAGTGACTACATGTCCCGATTTTGGCGGGACAGTCCCGCTTTTTGGAGGACTGTCCCGCGTCCCGCCGGTTTTTAAAAATGTCCCGCTTTTTAGAAAATATCTGCATTTCTTATTTTAAATGTATTGTAAAAATATGTTATTTTATTTATGAATTATTATAGTGAATATAAAGAAATAAAAAATACATTCAAAAACACATAAAATGCATGCAGAGTAAACTAAATCAGGCGATGTAACGAGTTACATTTACTAGTTGGTGTTCGATCATTGTCGTTACGTCTCGTCAAGGAATATGTATTGTTAACGGAGGAACAGCTAGCATTAGCTGAAGGGCTATTTGCTTTCCACACCATAAACCACAATCAAAGTTTCAGATCAATTGATTGTACGTCGCAAATGATCAAAACAATGTACGACAAAAAATATGCATGTGCAAGGACAAAAATCGAAGCAATTATTTGTAATGTTTTTTCACTATATACGTTTTCACAATTGCAGAAAGAATTAGATAAATGCACATTTATATCCATATAGTACTATGCTTACAGCCACAAAGATTTAAAATTAATTCCCACAATTGTTAGACTCTTTGACCCAAATAGGAATTAAAATTAGAATATTAGATTTTGTTTCATTGCCGGGTGAAACTTCATAAATAATTTTTGATTCAATAAGTACTATTTTAAAAGAGAATAATTTGAGCAATAAAATTATTGTCTATTGTGAGGATTTAGGCAAATTTTGGTGGAAAAGCTAGAGGAGTCATCAATAACGTTTTCACGAAACTTAACGAACATTTCAACCAAAAAATTATTGCAGTAGGTTGTGCAGCGCACATTCTATACAATGCTATTCAAGCATCATCTGACGTACTTCCAGTGGATGTTGAAAATATTATTACAAAAATTTATTCGTAGTTTTATACATATACTGTGCGTGTTCAAAGTTTGAAGGATTTTTGTGAAAGCGCAGAAATCGAATATAAAAGGATTATTGGTTGTAGCAAAACACGATGGCTAGTCCTTTTACCAGCTGTAAAAATGTTTTAAAAATATACGAACCATTAAAATCATACCTTTTATCAGAAGATAAATGTCCAAGAATATTGCAGCTCTTTTTTGAAAATGACACATCACAAATTTGGCTTTAGTTCATCCACTACCAAGCTACATTATTTCACAATGCTGTGAAAATTATTGAAGGGGGAAAAACTTTCAGTTACGGAACAATCAAATGAAATCAATAATTTAAAAATAAAACAGCGAGAAAGAATTGATAACGATTACGTTCCTTTAGTTATTCGAAAGGACATCACTAGGTTAGAAAAATAAGATGCCATTAAACGACCAGATTTTCTGAAAGAAGTCAGAAATTTTTATAAAAACTGCTTGGAATATCTTGAAGAACGGACAGTTCAATTCGAGAATATTAAAAACTTTCATTGGGTGGCATTAAAAAAGGAGATTTTATGTGAATATGTGGAAAAATTCTTTTAATATATTAACCATTTTCAGAAAAATAATATTTGCGAAAATGATCTTAATAAGGTGTCATTGGTAAAAAGATACGTTACTGATGAAAAAATTAAATGTTGGTTGTGTGCAGATGTAGAAACAGACAAAAATTAGACGGAGTTATTCCTTCACTTTAAAGAGAATAATATTACTTATGAAAATATTTTGAAAATTGTGTAGAACACGCGCTCTCCCTTTCAGGAACAAATGCAGCAACAGAACGTGTTTTTTCTAGTATCAATAAAATATGAAAAATAGAAAAAACGCAGTTGAACATTAAAACTTTAAAATGTGTTTTAAGCCTAAAATGTAATTTGACCAATTCATGTGAAAAATTTCACGACGTTTTAATAAGTGATCCGAATCTATTGAAAAGTATTCACTCGTATAAAAAATATGATCGTGAAAGAAAATCATAATTTTTTAAATAAAATTTTAAATTAATTAAAAACATAATATTCAAATTATTGTTTTTACAAACATCTTTATAGTTACCAATAGTTAATAAAATATATTTTTGTATATTTATAGACAAGTATATGAATGCATATAATAAAAAATATTTTTTTGAATTATTGGTCTGCTTTCATAGCTAAATTACAATTCTCATTTCATTCCATTTGCCCCGCTTTGTCTCAATGAAAATGTGGTCACTTTAATGTAAGATAAAAAACATGAAAGCAAACTTCTAAATTTAATTCATTATAACCTCTTTTATTTTTTATTTCATTTGGAAACTTCATCTCTCTGTCCTAAAAATAGCGCCACAAGTCTAATCTGCTTCATTCAAATTAATCATGCGAGCTTACGTAATGCTTAGTGCAGATGTCTCTTGCCCAATCAAAATAATTGTAAACCAAAACTAAACTCGAATTGAAACTTGACTAGCCCCCTTCTTTCTCTGAAGTATTGCGACTCGCTCTCTTTCCCCTGAAGATTTCATCCTGTTAAGACGCTTTGCTGCAATTATCTATGTGCTGCTATGATAGCTTCTACCGCTATGATAGACAGCTGCTATGCTATGATAGCTATGACAGCTAGTATCAAAATTGTGAATGTTCTGGAAGTGAGCCCGATTGGAGTGTCAAGTGCATTGTAGCCACAAAATGTGAATTTAAATAAGGAATATAATCTGGCTAGACTGTTTATTCTTCAAAATGGATGGACGCTCTAAACATCATGTGTCTTCGCAATCAGCATTTCTACGCATCTACGTCGTAGTGTTCCTACATCAATGCTTCCAAAAGTGTGCTAATATTACATTTATTAGTCGTACTGGATAGGACTAACCTAGATGGAACATTTATTCCTAGCAAATTTAAATCATATTTCTTTCACTGAAGTTAAACATTTAGCGGCCACAAACAAACCTGACACACTAATCGTGCCTGTTCCAGAACACTGATATTTTTTATATTGTTGCAATAAGAAGAAAGCTGTGCGGCAGCATCTTTGTAGCCACAGAAGCTGAAGCAAAGTACGTTGTGAAATATTAATTCAGCATTAGTTTCGGTTTCAAAGCATTTGATTAGATAAATAATAGTACTGAAAAATGATTACTAGCTGTTTCTGTTTTACTTCCATTTATCTGACCAGGTTTATGTAAAAATTGTAATTGATTCTAATTGATCAGTGACTCATAATTTCCACAAAGAAATGCGTTTGGAATGATAAGTACTCGCTTGTTTTTCATGATTTAGAGCGAAAGAGTAAGAAAGCTATAACTGATTACTGTATGAATGAAGATATAATTAATTCTCACTTTGAATGTCAAGTTTGTAGGAAAGATGAATCTGGTTTAGCTTAAGGATCATTTGGATCAATTGAAGTAAGTTTGTTGCGAGAAAGGTTCTCGAAACTGACGCTTATCTACCAACACCGTTGAGGGCATATGAAGCCACATTAAGCTCGAGGTATAAGATGTAGCCAAGAACACACGAGGTGAGTACTTTTGTTATTTTTGTAACATACGTTTTCGGTGATGCTTCGCATGACAGCCATTTTATAGGTTGGTGCCATTCTTGGCGTCATAAAAATTGCCAAATATGACAAGGATCACCCTATAGTAAACTTTTACCAACGACATATTTCGATTTC